AACCCGGGACCTATTGTATGAGAGGCTAACACCTTAACCTCTAGACCACGAGAGCCCCCGACAACAAGGGTTTTGTTGAGCCAAAAAGTAAGGCACTGAACAAAAAAATATGGACAACATTCAAATCCTGGTCCTCATCATAGAGCATTTAAAGAAAACTTATAGTTTATATATCCAAGATTACCTGTGATGCCATGCCTCTTATTATTGATAGTAAATCTTTTTTTGTGGTTTCATCGACATGGATAGATCTTTCAACAGGTGAGCTGCTTAAATTTCACCAGGCCCAACTCAAGCTAAACAGGATTGTTGAGACCTGGGTCACATAGTTAAAACCAGGCAGAGATGTGGAGTTATCTGGTTCCGTGGGGTTTACCAGAATGTCCACACCCGGGGTAGTTGGACCTGGTCGCACATTTGGAACAGATCTGTTGAATGAGAAATAATTCTTCAAAGAAAAGGAAAATTACAAAAAAACAAATCCGACATTGCACAGTATCCTTTTCAATGAAGAATTCTTGAACTGTTGAACTGTTTATGTTCATCACACCCTATTCAGTTCAAAAGATTTGACATCTAGTTTCTTTCAGCGATTACATATCATATTGAGTGACCTGAACAATAATAATGCCATGAGGAATCTTTAGAAATCCATAGGACTTCTAAATTTTAAAACACATTTTTAAAATATTCATAAATTTCCAACAAAGCTAACTTGAGCTCTTAACATGATATGCTGCACCAGTTCAGCTGGAGAGCTGTCGGTACCATTTACTTGCAACGCTAACGGAGTGGCACACAGCATGGCTCGGTTGTTTTCAGTCATAACAAATATCTACTAAACCCCATCCAGTGTATATGTTATCTATTATCAAATATTATATATATTGCATGGAACATTCATTTCTTCTAAGTTTAGCATCTCTTCCATGCAAATAAGTGAAACAGTAGTGGAGTTACAGAGAAAATTGTGATGAAAAAGTGGGCTCGGTATAAATGTGGTATAGGCTTCACTAAAAGTTAAGAG